AGCATGTTCAGCATTTTGAAAAAATTATAAACGTTTAACTTTGTCGTTTAAAGTTAATTAGTGTCACTTTAAAACACTCCTTCCGTCCCACAAAACCCTTCCTCTTTCTTTTTTCATCCGTCCCAAAAAACACTTTTCTTTTCCTATTAAAAAGTCATTTTTACTCTTATTAATTCTTAATCTAAATATCACATCACACTTTTTCTCTATTAATCTACCCATCACATCCTACTTTATCCATCACATCAAAAGGCATTTTTGGAAAGTCAATACCAAAATACACTCCTCTTAAATCCTTTAAAAGTCAAATTGGGAAGTTTTTCAAGGGACGGAGGGAGTATTAAACAAGATCTTATTAAATAAATTATAACGAATGATATGGTTTGAAGTACTCCTCCATCCTCCTTTAATTTGGACAATTTAGCGACACAAAGTTTAACAAAATTGTCAAAAATTCAAAAGTGAGATTCTCTGTGATTATAAACTGAATTATAAATTAAACTGTTTATTAATCGAAAAAAATAATTAGGTCCTATACAACTACTACTTAATTTTAAGCCATTTTTTTGATTGTGCACACGAATTTTTTGGAGAGAGAGATACTATCTGTGTTTAGAGTATTTTATCCATTTTGACTTTTTCAATTAATCGTTTTCAACCTTTGACTTATAATGAAATAAAATATACATTGTATATTAGTTAGATAAAATAATATTTTGAAAATATTAGTTAGATCAAATAATATTGTATCAATATCTAATATCATTTTTATTTAATTTAGGGTCAAAGCTTACCAATTTTACAGAAAAAAGTTAAAAGATCGAGGACAAATACTCCGGAACAGAGGGAGTAATAGATTTTTTTGGAGAGAAATAGAGGGACAAGAGATGACGGCTATTAGGCATGCTCATCATATTCGGTGGCGACTGTTAGGCACGCAGACATTTTTTTGGAGTGGGAGAAACCCTTACTCTGATACCGTGATATAATTTGATAATAATTAGTCTTTTGGAATTATAAAGGTTTCATCACTATGTATAGGGAATACATGGAAAATCATAATTAGAGTAGAGTAAATAATTATGATAACAATGGAATAGAAAAATAAATAATACACCGTAGACGTATTCTATTTCTTATACTACGGGTATTATTCTAAATATTCATAAGAATCAACCATAAGTCAATATACACATATATAGCAAATTTGTTTAGAAGATAGAAAATATTTATAAACCAGTCATTCCATGAAAAGTAAATAAAGACTGAGTATGTAAATACTTTAGAAAACTTTCAAAAAAAAAAAAAGTGTCCAAATTCAACCGCAATAGACGGAGCTGAGTAACGTCTGACATTGTTTGCTGACTTCAATGAATGGCAAGTTTATGATCATTAACTACGTAACCGAAATTATTTTTTAATTATAAATTTGAAAATTGTGTAAAATATGGTGTACAATACTTTTTTTTTCTAAACAAATTTTAACTCTTTATTTTTACTCTATAATATCTTTTCAATATTTTCTTAATCTACTTATGGTTAAAGTAAACAAATTGATTTTTTATCCCAAAATAAAAAAAATTAATTTATGAATTAATCTTGAACGTTACTGTTACAGAACATTGTTTTATGTGATGTTTATTAAATAAAATTACGTATTAGTTTCATTATCACTAGCTGAATTTGTTTTTAATTTGTTTAGGACAATCAACATTAACGCCGTATGGGAACCGTCGACAGTCGACAGGACAACGCCGTCTGCAACTCTTTACCGGAGTAGAATATTTTTTTACTTTTCATACTCATTTAAAAAAAAAAAAAAAAAAGATACACCCTTTGTAAACCATGGTATCACCTGTGATGCATGTATACACTCCCTTCCTCCCTCCTCCCAATAGTATTACAATATTCCCACTGTCTTGTAACCATTTTTCTTTACATAATTTTCTTCTTTNCAGGACAACGCCGTCTGCAACTCTTTACCGGAGTAGAATATTTTTTTACTTTTCATACTCATTTAAAAAAAAAAAAAAAAAAGATACACCCTTTGTAAACCATGGTATCACCTGTGATGCATGTATACACTCCCTTCCTCCCTCCTCCCAATAGTATTACAATATTCCCACTGTCTTGTAACCATTTTTCTTTACATAATTTTCTTCTTTTCCTTGTAAGTAAAAAGTTTAAAGTTGTGCGCGGAGGGAGCATAATATAATAGATCGAACATATTTTTTGAATTCATTTATTTAAATAATGATATACTACCTCCGTCCTAGAGTATTTGTTCACTTTCATTTTTACACACCATCCAATGCACTTCTTTAATCTATTTTATCTTGTAATTTGTATATTTAAAAATTATAGAAATTATATATTACTCCCTCCGTCCTAAAATGTTCTTTCCACTCACTTTTTACCCGGTCAAACTTTAATCACTTTCTTTACCTATTTTCATTAAGTATTTGATAAAATAATATAGTCTTGTCACCACTTGTTTTGTAAAACTTTTGATGTAGTTTTTAAATATATAAATTTTATTTTTTAATTTTACACCTACAATCAAATAAATTGAATTGAAAATAAAGTCGGTCAAACCTCATAAAATGAACCGGGAAGAACATTATAGGACGGAGGGAGTAATAATCTATATGTTAAGACAAATCAAACAAGATCACACATTACTATATTTATGCTTACACATTGAGAGAATTTGATGAGTCAAAGTGCTTAGATGAACAGTTCCAAAAGTCAAAACTGGACGAATACTCCGGGACGGAGGGAGTATTATTTTAAAATAAAAAATATCTATGGAAATAAAGTGAAGAAAGCAAAAATTAATTACTCTCTCCATGCCAAAAAGATGTTCATGTTTCATTTTTTATACATCTCATAAGACACTTCTACCCATATTCGTAAGGTCTAAAAATCACCTCATTTTCCTTTATTGGAAATATAAGGTCTGTTGGGGGTGTTTTAGACATTTGAAGCGAGGTAGAAATTTTTGTGAGATAAATGTACAAAGAGTGAAGCAAAAACAGCTTTTCGAGACGGAGGGAGTATTTAACATCTAAGGCTCTATTCTTTTGGGTTGGAAATTTTAATTTCCAATTTCTTCAAACTCCTTTTAGTTTCTTTCAACAACGACATAAAAAGGTATTTATATATGATTCATATTAAATAATATTATATATCCAAATTTATAATATATCACCTCACGGACAATGATGAATTCTTTTTTCATCTAAAATTGAAGTGTTCTTACATATTTACTTGATGGATCATTTAATTGAGTGACTTTTTAACACTTAAATTCTTTCAACATTTTCCAACTCTTTCAAGTTTTTAAAACTCATTCCAGTTTTTTCAGCATCAGACTATGAAATTTCAACTCAAAAGAAGAGGGCTTAAATAGTAATTAGAATTTAGGGCATAAAGGAAATACATTTTTGAGTAATACGTATAAATAGTCCTCGTTGTCTTCCATTAGTGGTAACTATTCCTCGCATTTTTATTAAAAGTTGTGAAATAGTCCTGGAGTCAAAAAACGGTTGCATAGTTAGTCCTTTTAAAGAAAACGTGAAAGACATTGAAATATGCAAAAATGAGAAGCATGTATCAATAAAAGAATTGATCTCGAGTTTTATTGTGATCTCTAAGCTACTTTGAGCCTAGCAAATTGTCTTCTATCTTTGAATTCAATTCTCAAAGTAACTTTTTTTCATGTATTCCATAGTTTTATTGTAGGATAATATTTGTGTTTTAAGAGATTGAAAAAGACTCTTTCATCGACTTTTTTTCACAGAAGGTACCCCAACTTTGAAGATTGTAACAAAAAAGTACCACATCTTATATTTGTAACAAAAAGGTACCTTATCTTTCAAATCTATAACAAAATCATATCCCTTCATCAGAATTGATACAATCCGGCTAATATTTGAGGAGGTGGCATCCATGTTGGCTTTCTCTCTCCTACGTGTTAATTATACCTTTTCTTCTTTGTAATTTTTTTCTTAAAAATTTTAGAACAATATTTTTATGTTCAATAAATAACAAAAAGAACATGTTTCTTTATGAAAATATAAGATTAATTTAAATAAAATTGTTCATGTATTAAAATTTTTAAAATAAAAATTAATTCTTTGCAAATAAGTTTCTTTTTATTATATTTGGAGAAAATAATTTTTTATTAAAAAATAAATAAATTGCATTAAAAAAAGAAATAAGTTTCTTTGATGGGGAATGCATCATCCCCTCTTTAATGCAATTTATTTCTTTTTTCTAGGCTCTAACACTTCATTATTCATAGGAGAACTAAATTTTTCATCATTCATAAACAAAAAAGTCCTAAAAATGCCTTAAAAATTTTAACTGTTCTGTTTTAATTTGATCCAATATATTTTGGGAGAAAGACCAAAGTAAAGCTAAAATATTGAAAATATACCAAAATAGGACTTCCATGTTTTTATTCTCGGAATAGGACTTACATTACCAAACATGGTCATATACATTACCAAAAAAGTATAGTAATGTGCACATGTACACTGCAACATTACCACAGTGCAAAGTCACATTACCAGAAAAAAAACATGAAAGTCTTATTTTGGTACTTTTCTCTATGTTTTAGTCCTATTTAGGGTGATTTCTAATATATTTTCTATTAAATCCTAACACTATGTTTGATTCAAGGAGTTTGAATGAAAAGAGGGAAAAAATAAGACTTTGTTTGGTACACAAAATTCAAATTATGGAATTGAAAACAATAATTTCAATTCTACTTTTTGGCATTACAAAAATATGTAAATTTGAAATTGATAGTGCCAAAAATAAATTGGTATTGGAGAATTCAATTCAATTCAAATCAATTTCATAGAATTTCAACTCTCAATTCAATTCCAGTTCTATGAATTTCATGTATCAAACGGAGTCCAAGAGGACAAACAATTTTTCTTATTTTATTAGAGAGTAAAAGTAAACTCCATAGAGCTTGACATCCACCATACCCATACGAGCAAGCACTAAAATGGGTTTATTTGTCATCTTGAAAATTAGTGTCTTCATTTTAACTCATGTGAAAATTCAGTACAAATACGTTTCAAATATTACATAGGCTACTTGTTGCCTAATTATAGACTAGGCAACGAAGCAATACACCATGAGCCACCATAAAAACCTCGGGCTAAACCCGCAGTACACACTAAATATAATGTGTGTTAGTAAAGACTACAGAAACAAAGATAAAGAAACCCATTTTCAGTGGCTACTCCGAAGTCCGAAGCATATTTTGTGTGGCGCCGGCTATGGGAGCCTCAGAAGCTGCAGGCTACTGGACAGTTCAAAACCCAGAAATTGGTGTTCTACAAGCAAAACTTCTTCCGGTACAGGTCAAGAGAAACATATTCGACAGTCACGGTCCGGTCATCAAAGAGTCGGCCATGTAAACAATGTGCAGCCATGGAAGAAGCTTCTGCTCTTCTATACTCTATCAGAACACAGCCGGGCTCGAAGATTTGGTCGAAATTGGTTTCACTCCCTTTTGCTTCTTCATTTTCTTCATTTTTGTGGCACTCGCTTAACTCTTCCTTGATCTCAAGCTTCTCTGCTGAACTCATGCTATGGATTCTATTGATGATATTCAGTTCGTTCTTTGGGGGATTCACACAGTCATTGCCAGAACTTACCACTGAACTTTCAGGCTCTGGTTTAGAGATTCCGATTTTAACAAGATTTTCTGCAGGTGTATCCTCGATATGATTTTCACTGGTTACGGCTTTGCTGGCATCTTTATCTCCCTCAGAACCATTTGATGGTTCCATTATGCTTGGTTCGTCATCATTACTCTCAGTAGGGGCATCATTGCCAATTGCTTCAACAGGTTCTTTCATCGATGAACATTCGCACTCCTTTACGAAATTAATAGATTTCACTGTGCCAAACCTGGGGAATCAGATAAATTACTACAGTATTTCAGAAAGCAATGTGAAGGATGAAAGCTGATGGAGTAATAGTCAGGAAGATGGTCTAGAGATATGGACCTAGCACACTCTAGCTTTACATCGTTCATAATTTCTTCAAATTCTTGTTCAGACAATCCCATCGGATCAAACTGTGGATATGAAGTCAGAAAGCAATGCTAATCAATTCATTCAAAAGCAGACTAATATTCACAGAGAAAGAATACTGCAAGAAAAATGTAGAGAAGTCTCCGGACATGAAAAAGAGAACAAAAATAAAGAAGATAAATAGGCATACCACATTTTTCAGCTTCAGCACTTCGGTGGGACTTTCCAAAAGTGGCTTAGCATGCTCAGGGATCCCATAGAGAGGAGGTTTCTCAACATTTTCCTGAAATATACATATTGGCTAATGAGACATTTGCACTATGCATTGGGGATATGCTGAAGAGGAGGTAGGGTAACTTCTTGTTTTCTGAAGAAGAGAATCGTGGAAAGAAGTACCACAAGGGAAGCATCTGGAGTAGCTTGAACAACTGTTAGCACTTTTCCACCCAACTTCATTCCATTAAGGCCAGCACAAGCTTTAGCAGTTACTGAATGGTCAACATACTGAAAAAGAAAGTAGAAATAAATGATCATTGATGAAAGTAAAAGATCAGATGGAAATGCAAAACAATCATGGAATATAATAAACTTCAAGCTCACATAAGAAACTGCTCCTTTAAGCTACCAGGATAAGATAATGAGATAATTATATAATCTACATTTAACGTTGCAAACTGTAATTATATCTTGTTTGTATATTCCCATACAGTGCAAACCTCCTAACCCCAAGTGGTAGCCTAATGTGAATAAATTAATCGTGTCAAAATTTGAGTTCGAGAACACTTACGTTTTACTCCCCTTTCAGGTTTCAGTTCATAATCATATAAAAAAAACATAAATTCTTGCTTCTCTCAAACATGAGAGGCCCCAACTTTCTAATTGCGGGTAGTATCCCTGGCCCTGGGTCTATCCCTGGTTTTGGTCATGGAACCGGCATCTGGCACCGAGTGACATCTCATCCAGATTACATCCACGGTAAATTTTATTCAACTCTCTCCATAAAACCAGTAGAGTATTATCAAAGTATATACCAGACAATAATCTAGTAGGGAGTAAGAAAGAATAAATAATCAATTAACCAATGAAAGAACAGAAGGATGATACCTCAAGAAAAGCGCACGGTTCATTAAGATCTGCATTCAACTCAAAGTGATATGCTTTCAAATATCCAAAGGATTTAACAATCTCCATAAGCTGGAATAGCAGCATAAAATTTATGCCATCCGGCACATGATGAAAAAAGAAACTAGAACATTATTTAAAATAAACCTTTTACTGACGTTAAGATTAATTCTCTTACCATATCAGATGAAATGAATTTGGAGATTCCACCAACAAAAATCTACATCATGTAATAAACATTGTTGGAACAGAAAAAAGGATCAACAAAAAAACAAACTATCATCAACAAAATATTCAATCCAAACACATTATGTAGAACGCCATCAAGACCTAGAGAAGTATCAAGTAAATGACTAAATGACAAAGAAAAAGGTGCTTGTGTGACAGACAGTTGATTGAATCTAATCAAATCCAAAGTGCACTAAATTGGACAAACGGGGTTTTAAACTAATTTGGTTTCATATAGAGTAGATAAGAGGCAATTCATATCTTTGATAAGAAGCTTCAAGTTAAGGTAAAGCTATTTGTTAAAAAAGATGATTGTGTTTACTGAACCCTATTTTCAATAATTACTCACTTCCAAAAAGCATTTCTGGAACTGTTACCTTTTGCACCGAATAAGATATTCCCATAGAAAAAATGCCTGGCATCTCTTTCAGCCACACGTACTATACTCGAAAAGAAAAAGAAGACGAGAAACAATTGCCTTAAGGCCAAATAAGAGAGTAATTATAAGAACTAGACAGCGTCCCTAAAGGAACCCAATGGCATATGTGGCATCTATGATCATTGTCCCATTCAATTCATTGTGGAGCCTGCTTTGTATAGAAATGAAAGGTGATGACAATTGACGAAGCCACATGCGCTGTTGGTCTCCCTGATGAAACCTACCCAGCTCCATAAATTTGTCAAAGAAGACAAAGCATATGCAATGTGCAAAAGCCATGGCATGTCCGTAAGAGATAAAATCGTGGACACTTATAATTAAAAGTTAAAGACATAGTTATTTAAGGCGCGATGCGCACCGATGCACAAAGGGGCTCTAGTGCCTCGATGCGCGATGCGCTATTGATGCGCGCGCATCACGAACACAATGCGCGCGTTGAGGCATAAGTAACATAGCATCTATAAAATAGTAATAGTAGATATATAATGTTGAAAAGCATAAGAAAATTTTAAAAAGAAACCAAGAATCAGATTATAGACTTCATGGGTTTTATAAAGAAATTAGGAAAATGGTCACTCCCATCTATTTTTGTGAACCTCCGAACATACTTCCATCCGGGATCATTAGAATTTGGTCCTTCAAGTTCTTCAAACCCAAAATCTAGAGATTCTTCCATACATGAAACTTGAAAGAGCACACAAAAATATAAATACAAGAAGGAAAAGAGGGATTCAGATCTAAACTGTGACTCCAATAGTCCAATCAGTCCAAGTCAGTAAGGGATAAGGAGTAGTAGGGTTTTTTTTAAAAACTAAATGAAGAGAGTTGTGTATGAATAGGAAGAAACAAAACTAAAGAGACAAGTAAAATAGGCGGAAGGCCGGAAGCCTCACGATTATAAAAATGAAAAAAATAAAAGAACCTAAAATGTGAAGCAAGCAAATAGAGAATCTGAAGAGAGCAAAAGGAAAACCGATGCACGGCAGAAGCAAAGTTGATCCAGAGAGAAAAATCACATGCGATGAAGTGGCAAAAGAAACAAAGCCGTAGAAAAAAACATAGAAACGAAGCAGAGAAGCAAAAATTTTGACTAAGTCAACCCTTAAAAAATTTAAAATAAAAAACGTAATCCGTGTTCGCGATGCGCGCGTTTTATCGCATCCAGTCGCATCGCTTATTGCGCTGAAGCGCAGATATGCGCTCGCGTAACGTACATCGCCCGCATCACCGTGAAGAATGCGCAAAGCCCTGCGCCTTGCATGATGCGCGCCTCAAGCGCGCTTTTCACAACTATGGTTAAAGACTTGTAAATACAGTACATATCATGAGTTGAATGGAATTCCTTGACTCCAAAAGTATATTGTGAAATACCACATTTTTGGAGATGCACAAATTACACTCATCTACATTTTTTGGAGATCCGCAAAGTACATTCATTAACTAATAGAGCTTCTATGGTACACTGGAATGATGGACGCATACCTTATAAGGTGAATCCATTACAGCATCGCTTATCCTATCGACAGCAGCCTGTGAATTCTCTGCAACACCAGTCTGCATGAAAATAGCAACTGTCTGAAAACCTGCTACATGAATAGTAACCACAACAAACCTCAGAACTTGCATATTATTAAAATAAAGTCATTAAGTCCACATGTAAGATGATCAAAGCCCGAACACAAGATTAGACAATATGCTTAGGACTTAGGTTGAAAGCTGATCACTTAAGAATAAGACAATTAGCACTTTAGCAGTTTATGAATTAGCCAAGGGTCTAACAGAAACCATTTTTATAGGGGAAGGTTGTGTACATCTTGACCCCCTAGACCCCAACAGATGTAGGATTACACTGGATCTGTTGTTGCAGTTGTAGCTTGTTACAAATTAGACATTTTTGTCAACTGAACATAGAATTAAAAATAATAAGATGCAACCAAAGCTTATATCCATATATAATGGCCATTGAGATGGACAAGAAAACAGTAAACAAACTTAGCCATCTCCTCTCAGTGACTCCAGTCACCACATTCTAAGCAAAGTCAAGATTTTTCTTATCCGCTAGAAAATAGGAGATAAAAATAAATTATGTGAACATTTGAACAAGCAGGTGAGGCCACTTATAAAGAATACGAACTTTTCATTAATTGAATTGAATGAAAAGAACATAGCTGGTTGTGCACAAACAGAAAGAATATGGACTTCTCATTAATCCAGTTAAATGAAAAGAACATAGCAAGTAGTGCACAAACAGAAATTATGAAGGCATTTATTGACACAATTCTTACTCCCAATTCAATAAAATCTTTAGGGCGCCTGATCTTAAGAATCGAACCACTGAATGATCTCCCATCAAAGGAAAGTGCAGCAGAGGCATCCTCAGGTGTCAAAAATTCTAGAAGGCCTTGGGCCTTCTCCTTGTGTATCTGCAATCAATAATGATATGTCAAATCAAATGTGTTAATGGTGCTACAATTCTATGAACAATAAATTAAAATAGAAACAAACGCACCATACAGCTAATGCAGGGTTTAGTCCCTTGAATACGGTTGACGCCTGAAGACAGCAGAAATTTATTAATGCATTCCATAACATCTTTATCAGACACTGAATTTGGCAAGTTCTCAACATAAAGTGTTCTCATAGGCCGTGTTGCTTGTGTTAGCTGGATTGATTCAACAGCATGCACTGGTGAAAGGTAACTATTTTGGAAGAACATGGCAGATTTGGTTGCAAACAAACTACCAGTAGTCACACCAAATGACCCAAGAGTTTTTATTGATACAGACTGTGCAGATGATAGCACACCCGAAGCTACTGGAGCAGGAAGATTTCTCTCTGCTGCTGCAGGTGGGAGATCCCAGCCAGCAACTCTCCTTTCTGGTGAACGTTTAGTTGGAGAAGGAGTTTTTGCAGCAGCTGCAGATTTCCTCTTCCGTGGTGAATAACCACCAAGCCCAATTGTAACTACCGAATGCCTCTTGAAATGACTAGTATCACCATTGTTGGATACCTTATTCTTATCATACTCAGAGTTTGATCTACCTGATTTATCTTTTGAAGGGTGTGAGTAGGATTCCCCATGATTTTTTGAGTCATGTGATGAATGTTTATGTGCCTTTGGAGAATGTGAGCGGGACTTTCTGGGTCTGTCTTTATCATGCTCTCTGCTCTTTGAGCGTCTTCTTTTTGGCCTGAGTTCTTCATAATGAGATCGCTTTGAGTCCTTCCTCTCTGGACGATCAAAGACTCTTAGTTTTGCTGAATCATGCTTTTTATGTGCACTGCTGTCTTTAGTTCTCTCTTCACCTTCTTTTGGGTGTTTTCTTGTGCTTTCCTTTTCAGATTTTTCTTTCCTGTTGTCTTTATAGCAATTTGTACTTCTATGATTTTTTGAATGTCTGTTTTCAGTTTCATCCACAGAAGCCACATTTAGCAACTCATCATTTTTTCTCTTCATGTACAGATGTCTGCTGCGAGAGCTGTCCTTATCATGATGAGCTTCTTTTCTTTCCTTCTCATATAACTTAACACTTCTATCAGCCAACTTCCTGGATGGGTCATTTGCATTACTGTCACCAAAACTTTTTCTGGAACCATCATGAGAGTTAGAAACTTTTTTCCTCTCACCATGAGAATCTTTATCAATGATGTGTCTGCTTATATTTTTCCCACTTGTACCAGTGCTAACTGCCTCTCGTTTGGTTTCTGACTCTCTATGTTCTTTCTCTGCGCATTTAAGGAATTTACTTTCCTTATCACTACCATCTTTTTTCCTTGAACTTAACAATTGAGAATCCTTTGAATTATGACTCACACTACTAGCCATGGAAACATCACGACTTCTATCAGATTCCAAACTATCTAAAGTCCTCACAAATTTTTCTCTACCAAATGCAGCTGCACCACCAGCAGAACTATCCATTAGTTCAGCAGTACCAGTCTTGTTCTTCCTTCTAAGCATAATTTCATCAAAGGTGTAAGGTCTCGTCCGAGCTGAAGTTCCCTCATCGTGATTACTATGAGATGAGGCAGTATTGTTTGCATTTAACTCTTTTTCATGACTGAACATACCCATAATTCTCTCAGTACACCGAGTTATAATTAAAAGTTTCCAACAACTCAAAATGTAAAAGTCGTTAAAATGAAACAGTTCCAAAGAAACTCCATTAGTTAATGATGGTGGAAGTAGGAACTCCACTGAAATTCTTCAATCCATAAGAAAAAGCTGCATCCAAGATGAAAAAAAAGGTTTACTATTGTCATGGTCTTCTTGACAAATCAAAACAAATTGACAGATAATTTTGAAGGAATGATTTTAGAGTTCCACAAAAATAAACAACGCAAACCCGTATTCGAATTACTGTCGTTTAGTTTATCTGGATACCAATCACCTACTAGTGTAGTAACTGTACAAATCATCCTTCTACTTTAAATGGAGTAAATCCCCATTTTCAAACACAATACCTCTAAATCCAAAGCATGTTACTCTAAGAAAGCATCATCACCATTTCACCAAACTTCACCTTAAGTAAATCTAGGGCATGTTACAGTTTTCTTAAAGCAGATGTTCCAAAAACTTCATTCAGCAGTAAGAAAGCAATGTTCAATCTTTTCTGTACAATTTCAAGTTAATTATCTCTAGAAACGGGGATGCGTAGCACCATATTCAGCAATCTCTTTCCAATAGCAGTTAATATACCAAAAGCATAAATCCATTAAATTCGTAGAAAATTTACCGGATGATGTAGTTTCATTTCCTTCAATCGTCTGCTTGAGCCTCAATTTGCACCGTCATTCAGAAGTGCAGAAAGAAATGGGAGATGGAGGATGGACGAACGATGGCCGGTGGTGGTAGAGAGCTGATCAATGAATTAGGGCTTCCAGATGAAAACATCGTAGGCTAAATTGAGTAGATGTTTTTTTCATATGAAATTAGTCAAAATTATTTATAAATTATTTTAAATTTATAAGCCAAATCTTTTGTTTTTTTATTTTGACAAGATTATTTATAAAATTATCCATCACTACTTATGAATATTCTCAGGAGAATTATCTATCATTTAAATGGTTCTATTTTCATGAGAAAATAATCGATTTATAAGCAAATAACACAGTTATAAATTAAAAATTATTTATTAGTAATAAATCAATAAGCAGTATAGAAAAGTACCATTAAGCTAAGCTCCTTTTTTACTTTCTTGAGAAATGTATATCTTCTCATATACAGAGTATTATTCATAATCTCTCCTTTTTGTAATAGACTCATACTTGATGTCCGCATAGTAAGGTCTATAAAATAAATATAGACTCAAAAAACAAAAAATAAAATGTCTAAGTCTCTAAGAACCTATTCAACCCAAGAATTGAGGTAAATCTAGATACTTTATTTTTCATGTTCCTATGTAGCATGTATACTTGTCTCCATAAGTAGCTATCACATATTGTCAGCTTATTATAATAATTAGTCAACTTCTAATTGATTTCATTCGCTCCTTACTCCTCGTCAAGTTTCCCGTTCTCTTTCCAGTAGATTTGTCTCAAGTTCTCAATATATTCAAGTCCCCACACTCTCACTGAAAGTGAAACATCGGTAACTGATCCAACCAAAGAACTAATTCAAAGAGCTAGAAGTTTATTGGTGGAAAAAGCTCAAATCTCACCCTCACGGTGACACAAACTCAAGAACTTCCGAAGGAGTAAGTGTTGAATGGGATGAAAGAGTGATTTTGTTGTTAAAAAAATAGTGTATCTTTTCCAAAAAAATCATTAGACGACATACTATCTTCGTCCCATAAAAATATTCTCATAATTGAATTTTACAGAGTGTAAGATAAATGAAAAAATGAAATTTAAAATTCTTTATAAGAGAGTAGATTCTCTAAGCCACATATTTTATTCTTAAAAAGAAAGTAAAGTTCGGGCAATTGAAAATAAAAAACTAAATATACTATAAAAAGGAAATAAAAAATAAATATATAATACATTACAAAAGAAAAAAGAATATATATATATATATATATATATATATATATATATATATATATATATATATGTATGTATGTATGTATATATGATTCACAGTGAAAAAAATGAGAATGTATACAATCCATTGAAATCCTATGAAATTTTCATTGTATTTACCCAACCTCGAGCTAAGTCGTCGATTGTTTAATATCTGGTATGAGAGGGTAATTTGGAAAACTTCAAGATTTGTGAAAAATGATCTTTATGGGAGATAATTATTCAATGCGGGAGTTTCAGTCACATGAGTCGTAAGCGCATGAATATGATGTGACAAAATACAAGGTCATCACTGCTCGATGTGTCGAATTACTATTTTTAGAAGGAATTTAATGCAGATATGCATGCAAATCCAATTATTTTCATCTATAGCTAGTCATCAAACAATGTGACACTTTACCCGTGATAAGTGTTGATGGAGTACTCGAGGCCATGCCGGTTGATCAATATACAGAAGAGGACATAAAGAACGTTTGACAAATTAAAATGAGAAAACAATCAACTATATTTATTATGTCATGAATGAATGTCGATTACTATCAGACTATGTTTCGTTTTACAACCGGAAACGAAACGTGTAACAAATTAGAGGTTACATATGAAATAACTACGTACATCAATAATGCAAAGATCAACATGTTTGTTCGAGAATATGAACTATACACTATGAAAAAGAACAAAAAAAAAACTAAAGACATGATTGACAAATTTTCCGACATTGTTAACAATCTGACATTCTCAAGAAAAACTACACCAACAAAGATCTCATGATTCTCATCCGAAAGATCTTACGAAGCCTCATGTTTGAATGAGAACTTAATTTCAACGCTATAAGATTTCGATGTCATGATAAACAATGACATAAGAGATAATCTTACTACATATGGAAACTAGTACTAATAATTTTCAGAAATTTGTTAAAGATAGAAGAAAAGGACAATAGACCTAAAAAGCACAACATCGAAAGATGACGATGAAGAAAAGAACAATAGATCTAACAAGTTTGTTTAAGTGTGCAAAAAGAACTCGAACCCATCATGCATTACGGTTATCGTGCCAAGAAGTTGATTGTATCGCCGAAGAGGCATATAGGTGTTTAAATTGTTAAAGAGATGTGTTGTCAAATGCATTACATGCTCACACTTTCTATCGAAGAGTTGTAATTGTCAAAGAGTATACAATTTCTCTACATCATCCCACTCTCTATCATATTTCTTTGAGATGGTTGTAGAGTGATTATTGCTCTTCATAACCTTACAACACATTGATAAACAAACCAGCAATTCTTAGAGAACAAGAAAATCACATTTGGGAAGGGGTAGCAGAAGTTGGAAATGAACACTGGTTTTACTTGTTTGCCTACTTTTCTCTTGCTTGAAGGTTGGACATCATATTCTCTGATTTCTACAAAGGCAAAAGAAAAAACCAGTAAAAGCCAGCAAAGATGACAAAAAGGCAAACACCATGAGACTAAGCTTAAACCAAACCAAACAAAACATGTAAATCTCGCTAAATAGAAGAGTCCCAAAGTAACTGACCTGCTCGGTATAGGGCAAGTACTTCCCATCGAAAGTCACAACAACACGATCTTTTCCATCCACGCCTTTTACTTTATCAACCGAGCAGTAGAAGTCTATAGCTGACATGCTAAAAATCAAAACCAAAACCAAATTGATGCCAAAATGAAGCATATCGAAGTGGGAAAACATATTCACCTCACTTACACAACAAACACAACAACAAATCCGCTACCATCCCAACTTCATCGGTTTCTGGGGCTTAAGATATACGCAGTCTTACTCTTATAAATATAGAAAGGTTGTTTTTGTTGGACCTTTGATGCATTGCTGCATTTATTACCCCAAACCTCATAGAAAGTAAGAAACAAGAAAAGTTTAACGTGTTTATCTATCGAAAAACAAAAAAATCAAAAATGACTCTTTTAGCTCCATTGGCAGTGGACACATAAATCCACCTCACTTGGACAACTAAAAATCAAAAGTTCAGTGAGAAACGTTGAGCATCAAATCAAGAAACTCACATGCCATCTCCAAATTCCTCATTAATGATTTCCTTAATGCTCTGCCCAAAATGCATCACAGCTTCATTCAATCTGTTACAAGCAAAGGCCAAATTATAGAGTGCACATCAAGAAAAGTGAAGTACTGCTGCTCTGGAGTTCAATGATGCTATTTCGAAACTTGCTTTTCTTGAGATAGATGAAGAGCAATATTGAGATGCTATCAAAAAACAAAAATGAGTAACTCTTGATATACAACAACAATGACACCATTTTTTATACCAAAGAAAGATTTTCACAAACATATTATGTCAGTGAACAATTTACCAACATAAGACTAAAATATGGAATTTATACGAAAATCTACTTAAATAAGACTAAAACCAAACATAGTGTTTGGATTTTCCATACAAATTCAACAATTCCAAAACTTAAAAGCCAAACACAGTCGATGACAATGAGAAACAAAATTGTCCGATAAATCAAAGGAATCGAGGGTAAAAAGGGTGACCTGTAAACACATGGGTCTTGAATTATTGAAGGATCATAGGACCGCATCGGAGGGAGCATCATTTCTTGAAGGTGTTCATCGGTCAGAAATGGCAGCGCCGCCCGGAGCTTTGGGGCAGTCTCCGGTTTGAGCTGGGCCTGGCGCTTCAGAAGCTGAGCTACATACACGTTTGTCAAGCCGGTTTCCGCCGCAATCTGATTGTATGTCTTGCCGGAACTCCGCCTCGCGGCTTGTAGCGACGCCGCCAACCTTACACTGCTGCTGTGGTTATCCATAACGATTGGACGGCGAATAGAAAAGGCCTTGACTACTTTGCAGGCTGAATAGGAATTTTTTTAGGCCCAAAATTAATTAATTACTGATATATTACTCGTTAATTAAGAATAATGTTAACTAGTACTATTTTGATAATTAATTAGTTTTGAAGACTAATTTAAAAAAATAGATAGTTATTGGAGACCATTTTGAAAACTTACTCTAAATAAAGTATACTACGTATATACTTGTACTCCAGTTGTATTTTAAAATACTCTCTCCGTCCACAAATAAACTTTACGTTCACTATTCACATTATCAAACTTTATTCACTTTGTTGGCCTATTTTCGTCACTCATTTGATAAAAAAATATAGTTATGTCACCTCTAGTTTTGTAGATCTTTTAATATAGTTTTTTAATATGTAATTTTTATTTTTCAATTCTACACCATTTTTCATATAAAATGATTTGAAAATAACTTCAGTCAAACATCGTAACGCGTAATGTAAAGTATTTGTGGACTGAGCGAGTATACCCTAAATATGTTGTGCTTTTGTGGAAAAAATGCATCCATAAATACTCCCTCCGTCCCACTCTTTTTGTCCACTTTCATTTTTGCACACCATCCAATGCACTTCTTTAATCCATTTTATCTTGTAATTTGTATATTAAAAAATTATAAAAATTATATATTAATAATCTATATGTTAAGACAAATCAAACAAGATCACACATGACTATTTTTAGACTTACACATTGAGAGAATTTGATGAGTCAAAGTGCTTAGATGAACAGTTCTAAAAGTCAAAACTAGACAAAAAGAGTGGGACGGGGTAGTATGTCATTATTTATCCCACCATGGTTCCAAATCATTGGCCTCAATGAAGGTATTTACAATATGTGATTCAAAAAATTAATGATTAATATCATCCCATAAATCTTCTTCTCACCCTATTAGGAGTCCCTACTACCCACCCATCCACCTACAACCCTCTCTTTAATTGCACGTCTCAAATTTAGCTAACTTTGAGGTCAAATATTTTAATCCAAAAGTCAATTAAATTTGGGGTGTGAAATTGAAAGGGTGACATTTTTTCTCTATCAAAAATAATTGTAATAACAAT